GCAGGCATGGGATAGGATGGAAACTCTAATGCTTGCCTGTGAATCACAGGTATACTGTGTGTCCTACGTAGTTTAGAATATTTACAGTTTAAATTATTTTTTGTGATAGGTGAAAGCAATGAGTGCTGGCATTGATAATTTGATTTTACTCAGTGATGAAGTAGTTGAAAAAACTCGAAAGGTGACTGATGAAGAGGTAGGGATGGTTGTGACTGAGCCTGGACTGATGAGCTTTGAGGCTAATATGAGGCTACTGGATAGAAAGGTAAGATTATCTCAGTGTGTATATTGCTGTATGATATATGTGTCATGATTATTCTGTAGGGCTATAAAACTGGATATCAATATAAACTCTCAAAATATATTAAGAGACAATGAATACTGATGTTAATTATGAAATGAATTAATTATAATCATTCGCCTTTAGTTTATTAATATACGCACACCGTTATATTTAATTCATAAAATGTCTTGAGTTTGCATAAGAACGAACTATTATTTTTAATTTTAATACCAAAATCACACCAAAAATCAGTTTGCTCTGTAACAAGAAACCCCCTAACAAATAATGATGATTAATAATAATAATTAACATCTTTTTGACTTTTATTATTTTTGTTATTGTTGTTGATGAATAATAATAAGTAGATCTAATTAATGAATAATGATAAGTAGTTGATGAATAATTATGATTAATCAGTTTAACTCTAAGTTGAGCTTGACCATGAGCGATTTCAAGGAACACTGTTTTAGCAATATTTTTAGTAGCTGGACAGAATTTCATCTCAAAACTGTACGAGGTGGAATTATTGACTTGACCCTGCATAATTTGACAAGCTTCTAATGTGTCTACTGGAATCTCTCCTTTGAAAAACTCAAAGCAAGGCCTCCTCCATCCTTTACAGATACTATTGCATTTATGGTTCATGAAAAACATGGCCATTCCTTCAATTCCCATGTCTGTCTCACCATATGTATTGTTGAGTGAGAGCATTACAGGGTCAGTCAAATGATAGCCATTTTCATCACGAGTTCCTTGAAGATCAGGGGCGTATCCAGGGGGGGGTGCTTGAGCGCTCGAGCACCCCCTTATGGCTGGGCTCAGAAAAAATTACTGAAGTTCTGGACTCTTTCATCACTACCAAGCCTCTTATTAAAGTTATCTAGCACCCTGATTATGATTTCAGCAGTTTCCAGTCCTTCAAAGAGTGATCAAAAGTACCAGTATGCTTGAATGCTTGATCTTGACCCCACCCGTAATTGACGAAAAATGAAGAAAAACGCCGTTTTTGCCGTGCCTACGTGCCACCATAGATTGTATTACTAAGTAACAGGGATTGGAAACTGATGACGTCACATGGACAGACTCTGTAATGGTGGAAAAGCAATGGAAGGACTACACAAGCTCTTCTCCTAGTCTCCAACTGTATTAATTTGAATTTTATTTACTATCGATGATGAACAGATAGGTCTTGGGAGTTTATAACTGTTCTTTGTGTCGGTTAAGCATAGTTTTGTTGACAGAATCTTCGCCGCCTCTCGCGGCCCATGTTATCATTGAAATTGCCTTTGTGATGGCACAAATTAACGAATACAGCTATTATTTTTCCAAAGTGCCGTCTATGGCTTATATAATAGGCTAAAGGCATGTGAAAAACCTTAATCTTTGTTACAGTTTTTGTCCTTTATCCTAATTTTACTTACTTTTTGTGATATAGGTTGAACAGATACGCCTCTAAAAACAGACATTTTGGGATCTTATGATCTGTATGAAGCACTAGTGATAATAAAAGTGTTTTAGTGGCACGTAGCTTTACTTGATGCATGTTTTTTATATTGACACTCTCAGTTTTAGTTACCCTTAGCAAGTTATAGGTTGAATAGATTTCACACCTATTACGCATGGTAAAAAAGCATGCTTTTTCTCATTTTTCTTCAAAATAAAGTGCTGTATTACAGCTTTAACAGTTTCTGATAAGTAAGCAAACCTTCAGCAACAATATAAGCTATATAACTGCTCTGGATCTGGCTTCAAGCTACACTTAATCCAGCAGTCCTCTCAGTCACATTGCTCTAGTCTCAACGAGCCGGGGAAGGGGCAGAGTCTTACAAGGTTCGTCCGCACCTGCTTTCATTGATTTGAATGCGATCACGTGATCTGTTTCCTATCCCTGTTACTTAGTAATACAATCTATGGTGCCACCATAGATACTAGCCGTTTCTAGTATCTATGGTGCCACCCGTAGGCACGGAGGGTGTGGTCTGGCTACGAGAGACTAGGCATAGATATTAGAGTAAATGAAACTTCATTTACTCTAATATCTATGGACTAGGCCAAAATTGCGGGGCGCGCGCGCCTCCTAATTTCCTCCTTCTTTACATTCTGTACCCCAGCACCCACCTTTCCAAATTCCTAGATACTCCCCTGAAGATCACACACCATTTCTTTCCCTTTTGTATACACCCAACTCCAGTGAACAAATGCTGGCATTGTGATGTATTCAGACTCAGCTCTAGTTGAAATATAGCCATAGTTATTACACCATTTTACGAAATTTCCCTCTAAGAAATCTTCAACTACAACGTACTCAAGTGGGGATGAGTCAACCACTGTATGTTTGCATGTGTCAGTAAAGCGTACTGGAAAATTTGAATATTTTCCTTTATTAAATTGCTGTGCTAGTGTTCTAGCTCTGTCATAAATCTTCAATGTGCAATCCAAGCTGTTGGAGTGAACACTGCTCCTGACCTCATCCTTTTAATAACGCATTGCCATCCGTACTTATCTGGAGTTGTCCAAATTCCTTTATAAGCTAAGCGAAACT